CCCGCCCACCTCCTGCATAAAGTCAGCCGATCTCCTCAGCCAGCTAGAAGTCTTGCGGTAACTTGCCGCGCGTTCTTCCCGCCCGCCATACCTACCGCGCGGCGTCCTGCCGCCAGATTCCTCTCCCACCCCCTCCTCCCCCTCCTTATCGCTCAACGTGTGGTTGTCATCATCATCATCCTCATCATCGTTCTCCTCCAGCTCACTGTCGGCCATCATGGCAGCAGTAAAGTCCAACATGTAGGGGTTACTTCCCTTCATCAGCGCCGACAAATCCACCACCCCGCCGGTGTTGCTGTCGTCGTTGTGGTCGTCAAAGTCGACGTCCTCGTCGTCAAACGGGTTGTAGTCGTCGTCGTCATCGTCCTGGGCCAGGAAGGAGGAGAAGTCGTCCGCCTCGATGATAGTCCGCTGGCTCTCGATGCTGTCGCGGGAGCGGTTCAAATCCTCCCTCCCCCTCCTCCCCTCCCTCCCTCTCCTCCCCTCCCCCTGTGGCTCCTCGTCCGGATTCTCCCTGTTCCCGCACAGGTCCGGGTCGTCCAGCTCACAGTGCACCAGGCTGGGCCCGTCCGGACCACTAGTCACCATGTCATCACGAGCCACGTCCGGACCACTAGCCACTACGTCCGGACCAGCAGCCACGCCATCCTCTCCCCCCGGGCTCGGCAATCTCCGGGCCGACTCGTGACTTCCCGTGGTCGCCATCTCAGCTCGGCCCGCTACGTCAGCACTCACAGGCCACAGTGACGTCAGCACTCACAGGCCACAGTGACGTCAGCACTCACAGGCCACAGTGACGTCAGAGAGTGTGTCTGCACATAACCATCACAGCCCACACACGGGTGTAACTGACCAGCCGGTCCTAACACAGGTCATAGGGTACACACTATCATGACGTCACCACCCACGAGCTGTGCCGGACACACACACTTGACACACACGCCGTCACCGTCACCATCGCCGTCACCATCACTGAGAACACAGCGGCTATATCGCGCCAACTACACAGTTCAAAGGTCACCGTGTGGCACCACACAGATCTAAAGACACAGCGCAAACACACACATCAGGGCCAGAAACAACTACATATATATGTATGTATGTATGTATGTAGGTCAGTAGACATGAGCCGGGACAAACAAAGCTTGGGGTCGGAGCAATGAGAAACACACCCAGACAACGACGGCCATAGAATGCGGGGAAGAAGCAAGACAAATAGACAGAAAGCAAGGACACCCTCCAACCACTCACACACACAGACAGAAAGCATTGAGAAACACACCCAGACAACGACGGCCATAGAATGCGGGGAAGAAGCAAGACAAATAGACAGAAAGCAAGGACACCCTCCAACCACTCACACACACAGACAGAAAGCATTGAGAAACACACCCAGACAACGACGGCCATAGAATGCGGGGAAGAAG